CTCTGTCTCGGGTGAATCCTCTCACCGCCCCTGAGCCTCTGGCCTGTACCCCAGTTCTGTATGTACAAATAAATAAATCTTTAAAAAATAATAATGTATGGAGGAGTGACTTATAGGACAATTCTGCTGATGTAGAGAACTGGGGTGCAGGGGCAGTGAGCGGAATCACCAGAGACAGCGTGGGGAGCAGAACAGGTAAGATTGACAAAGTACACTGCTGAGGGGAGCAGACATGAGAGGTTTGATGCACCATGTGGATCACCTCCTGGGCCAGGGATAGAACTCACACAGAAGTGGCTGCAGCTAGCTTGCAGTGCTGCACTTTAACCCAACGCACCACCAGGGAGGGTCCTGAGAATCATTTGGAAAAGTGGTGAGTTAGGCCCCTCCCTGGTGGCACAATGGGTTAAAGTGCAACACTATAGTTAGGTGCAACAGAGTTCAATCCCCAGCCAAGGAGGTGACCCACATGATCCGCCCACTGCTCCCCTCAGCAGTGTACTTCCTCAGTCTGCCTGTTCTGCTCCCCACTCTGTCTCTGGTGAACACTCTCACCACCCCTGCACCTCCAGCCTGTATCCCAGTTCCATATGCATAAATAAATCTTAAAAAATAAAAAGTGGTGAGTTAGCAGCTCCCGCCTCTTCTTCTCAAAGTCCCTAGACTAAAGAAGTCCCTAGACTAAATATGAGCCAACCACAGGTGGGGTTCTCCATCACCATCCCCTCCTTTCCAACAGTGTCCTAGACCTTCAGCCCTGGAATGAAGCTGGAAGAGCTAAGATAACTCTGTAAACCCACTGAAGGAAGTGGTGTCTGCAGATGATTGCCACTTTGGAAACACCTAGAAATTGACCCAATAAAGGCAACAGAGCAAAATTTTTATTTATTACCTTTTATTGCATCATCTCAAGTAAGGTTTGCAGAAGGGCAAGAAATACAATAAGGCATAAATCATTGAGCATACTTTACTCCACAAAAATGTATGCACGTATCAGCATTTCAAATGCTCAGCTAGGTTATGATGAGTGAGCAAGAACAGACTGACACCCTGCTCAAGGAGCTCACTTTCTAATACAGAGAGCAAACAACTTACAGTTGGGTAGAAGCTACCAATGAACAAAGCAAGATGCAAACTTATTTTGTAATTTGTTTGGTATATTGGAGATTTGGAGAGCAAGCAAACACGTAGGCTGATGCCCAGAGGAACCTCCTAGCAGAAGTAGCAAGTAAGCTGATCTAAGCATGGTAGTTAGTAGTCAGTGGTTCTCACCACAGTATTGTGGAAATGGATGGGCCGAAGTTTTCACCTTTGGGGGTTATCACTGAATGCAGCTGGGGATAACTGAAGCGTATGGGTTAGTCCCACACAATGACGTATTCTGTATACGGTAACGTCCGTGGACACTTATGTAAATCCTACAGTTCATCTAAGAGAATAAAATGTATTATTTTCCTCTTAGACAATCTGTAATATGTATTGTCCTATTATCCTATTTCAGTTAAGCTACTTTCACTTTCCCTTACCATCTATAGTTAAGATACAGGGTCGGTTAGCATTTCCCTAATACTGGTTTTCATTCAGGTGTGACCCCATCTCTAAGCTTTCATTTTCCTGTCTTTACAGAAAGTAGCCTCTAATCGACTCTTAAATCCAAACCTACTCAGTAAAAGAAGAAGTCAATGTCTATTTCACGATGTCATGCTGTCAGACAGGGTAATTGTGCCTGACTATTTACCTATTGAAATTCTTTTTGCTCTCATTACAAAGTTATTTCCTTTTGCTTCTCCATTATAATAGGGCACTATTTTTTTTTTCCAAGTGTATATGGGTTAGTAGATTGTATTAGCTATGAATCTTCTCAGGACAACCAAGGAAATGTTATAAAATACCTACTTTGAAGAGAATAGATTTGATAAGATTTGGAGGGGCTTCTGGAAATGGGGGAGGGAAAGTGCTATTGGCACTTAACGTGTGCGCAGAATATCCACAATACACACGATAGTTCCTTACAAGAAGGAATTATTCTGTGCTCCTGCGCTCTATACGAGTTTTGAATATCTCAGTAGACATTCATGTATTTTCTACAGTTCGTCAGCAAGAATATAGTTTCTCATTTTCTCCGTTTCGAGCATCTGCAGATTTTCTTGCATTAGTATCTTTATTACATTCTTTCTCTTATAGAAATAAGGTTTAGGGTCTCCCTGATGGCGCAGGGGTTTAAAGTCTCAATGCTGTCAAGCTATCACAGCCCTGAGTCCAATCCCACATAGCGCAGCAGACCTCTCCTGTCTTGCTGGCTGCTCCCTTCTCTATCTCTGGTGAATCCTCTCACCACCACACCCCCACCCCTGCACTTCTGGCCTAGACCCCAGTTCTTATATGCACAAATAAATAAAAAATAACTTTACAAAAAAAGAAAAAGTATTATATGCAAGTAAGTACTGTATCACTAGTTCCTATTCTAATGTCCACTCATTAGAATGGACATTTTCATTTTCCCATAGTTCTTTGAACAAAATAGCTCTGATTGCTACCTTCAGTTCATAATTACTCATTTTAAGTAGATGGAAAAATCTTGATTACTTAATTAGGGCTTCTCATATAATAGTGCCCAAGTTATATATAGCTTTTATCTCCCTTTTATGTTAATTTTTATTTCTAAAAATGTATGTAGCATATGTATGACCACTAAATTGCATCTTAAGTACACTAAGGTAGATGTTACAGAGCGTTTTCTTTAAAGGGGTGGTGGGCTGAGAACCACTGGGCTAGGTGAAAGCAGAGCTAAAACAGCAAAAGTTGTGGTGGCTGCGTGAGACAATAATGAAGCTGAGCTTTATTCTAAAGGCATGATCAGATGTGCGTTTGAAAAAGTAAATGTTAAAAAATATAACCATCTATCTATCTGTCTGCTAAGCAAAGAGCAACTCAGAATGAGTTGAAGAAAAACTGGACATAGGAACCGTTTAGATGGGGTGTTGGGGGAAGAAGAGTCAAGGTGACTTGGGATGTCTGTTAGAACAGATGTGTGCAGGGTGACGCCCTTACGCTAGGCAGGACCTGGGGGAGAGCTGATTTGCTCCCCAGAGGCGGATCAAGAGTTCCACTTTGGACATGATTGCGTAAAGTCCAGCTGAGATGCATTCGGATAGACCACGCTTGACATATTTCATCTCTGTAGTGAGATTCAACATCAGGGAGTAAAAATTCCAAAACAGAAGCCACCATGAAGAAAAAGGAGTGAATGAGACAAATTAAATGTGACAGGCATCCCAGAACATAATCTGAGCTAAACGCCCCTCCATGTTCGTTAATGGTGGAGCCTTCGAAGCCAAGGAGGGCTTTGTACGGATATAAAAATCTAACTAATACAATATCATCGCTAATGCCAATTGGCTTGGGAAACGTGCCTGCTAACAGGAACTGTAACAGGAACTCTGTGGGACTGGTATGAAATTAAAAGGGATGAATTTTGTCAGACACCTCCACTGTCCTACAGACTGTACCTAAAAATCCGTTATGTTTAGAAAAAGCAGTCTCTTGCAGGCATGAAAGAAAGAGGCATTGTTCTTTCTTCTGATTCGGTGCTCACCAGAAAGCAAATCTTGCCTCCACAGGGGCCCGGCTTTCCATAGGGATGGCCGCACTCTAACTCCTGGGTGAACCTTAACTACTTACAAAAAATAGCTATAGCCACGCTCAGGTTTATAAGTCTTACTAGTATGAATTTAGTTACTGTAACTCAGCGCCTCCCCCCACCCTCAAATACAGATGCATCAAGAAAGCTGCACATGAGCAAAACCTGCCCCATAATCGTATTCATGAAACTGTCCACTGCCATCATGCATCATGTACTCTGGTGCTGGTAACCGCAACTGTGTCCTGCTAGTGCCAGCAGAGCTAAGGAAACTCCATTTGGATGCTTCTCTTTGAGCCACACTTAGTGGCTCTGCGTTAGTGCATTCCAGAAAGCCCCCCTAGTGGAGAGAAGAGCTGGGTGCCCTAAATCAGTTTCAGCACAAGGACAGCATTATCACTAAGTATGCAATATCGTCAAATTACCTTCACTTTCCCTAGCACCCCAAGCCCCCCTAATGTTTCAAGGTCTTCAGTCTAAGACTGTGCTATCATAGGTCCTTATTCCAGAAGGCATTTTTAGATTTCTCCAGAATTAATTTTCTTTCAATTTAGCTCAAACAAAACTATGACACACTGAAAACTAGATAGTGGTTGTATGGGAAAAACGGCTCCCTTAGAGAGCTTTAGAATTCACTTCCACCTGTAACAGTGGTTCCCAGACTTCAGGACACATTTGATTCTTCGGGGAGTTATTT